GGTGAATTGTGTATAAGCTTCACTCCCCAGGAAAGTTTTCTCACTTTCTTCTTCACCATATAGTTCCTCCCCTCTCCAACTAATGTTCATAGGTCACGTATTTCCACTATTCCTCACAGTATATCAAATATTAACCTTATTTTATAAATGAGAAAAAAGATCAAAGGTTAAATATTGCCCCCTGGTAGCATAGCTTTCAAGTGGAATAGCTGAGAATTGAGTGTAGATTACTCTGATGGAAGAGCCTAAGAAATTAACCACTAAGTAAAACTGGAGACAAATAGAATTCTAGCTAAACCATCTATGTACTGAAATAATATACTTCTTAGAACAAAAATATTGGATGAAACAGTATCATATTAGGCCTGACCTTATTTGGCAGATCTTGGTTAAGATGTTTCATTGTTTTTTTGTTTTTTAATTCAAATCTGTATTATCAGGGTTTGAGAGAGAGAAAGAGTGAGAGAAAGGAAGGAAGGGAGGGAGGGAGGGAGGGAGGGAAAGAAAAGAAAAAGGCTGAGCCTGGGTGGCTCACGCCTGTAATTCCAGCACTTTGGGAGGCCGATGAGGTCTGGAGATCAAGACCATCCTGGCTAACACAGTGAAACCCCATCTCTACTAAAGATACAAAAAATTAGCCAGGCATGGTGGCGGGTGCCTGTAGTCCCAGCTACAGGCTGAGGCAGGAGAATGGTGCGAACCCGGGAGGCAGAATTTGCAGTGAGCTGAGATGGTGCCACTGCACTCCAGCCTGGGTGACGCAGTGAGACTCTGTCAAAAAAAAAAAGAAAAGAAAAGAAAGAAAGAAAATAAAACAAAAAAAAAAGGAAAAGAAGAGGAAGGAGGGAAGGAAGGAGAGAGAGAGAAAGAGGAAACAAAGAAAGAAACCAAAAGGAAAAAAAAAGAAGAAAGAAAGAAAGAGAAAGAAAGAAAAGGAAAGAGAAAAGTAGAGGAAGGAAGGGTGGAAGGATGGAAGGAAGGAAGGAGAGAAAGAGAGGAAAGAAATAGAAAAGAAAGGAAGGAAAGAGAGAAGGAAAGAAAGAAAGAGAAAGAAAGAGAGAGAGAAAGAAAGAAAGAAAGAAATTTCTTTTATGAAATTTTCTCATATGATTTAGGAGGCTGGCCAGCCCAAAGTCTGAAGGGTAGGCTGGCAGGCTGGAGATCCAGAGAAGTGTTAATGTTCAAGTCTGAAAGCAGTCTGCTTGCAGATTTCTCTCTTCCTTGATAGAAGTTTGTCTTCTTCTTTTTAAGGCCTTCAAGTGATTGGATGAGGCCTACCTAAATTATGGAGGGTAATCTGCTTTACTCAAAGTCTACTGATTTTACAGTTAATCTCATCTAAAACGTATCTTGACAACAATTCAGACAAGTGGTTGAGCAAATATCTGATACCGTGGCCTACCCAAGTTAATACATAAAATTAACCGTCACAGAGTCTCAATACCCTTTCTTAGTTACCTAATAACTAATTAGTTGGTGCAGTTGACTCTATTAGAAATGCTACTGTGACATTTTTGATCCCTGATAGAGATAATGACGTTTTTCTAAATAAATGGTCTATTTCTTAGATTTCTCAATTTGTTCCTTGGTACACTTGAATAAGCATATTAGGCTGATTAGATGTTTACTTCATTTGGGTGGCTGGCAAGGCAAGTACTTTGAATTCTTAACCTTTAGGATTAAAATTCAGCTTCTTTCAGTGTCACTCCTGGGCAAGAAGCAGATGTCTGTATACTAAAAATTTTCTTGGTGCTTTACTAGATACAACTGGGCTATTGAAATGCAACATGCTCTATATGTTTGAACTGCTCTTATAGAAGTATTCCAAACTGAATACCACAAACCAAAACTTTTCAGGAAGCTAATGACTGAAACTTTAAATAAAATCTCCCTTCCAGTCATGGAAATGAACCATAATGTGTTGGAGGATGGGTGATTCCTGGTAGTGAGAAATAAACAGCTTATGACTTAGGTTCTTAGCTTCAATGTGTCATACCATAATAATGCTTTCATAGGAAAATATATAGTGACACATATTGTCATCATTGCCTCTAAAAGGCACTTACATATGTCATTCAGTAATATTTATTTATTTATTTATTTATTTATTTATTTCTGAGAGAGAGTCTCGCTCTGTCGCCAAGCTGGAGTGCAGTGGCGTAATCTCGGCTCACTGCAACCTCTGCCTCCCGGGTTCAAACAATTCTCCTGCCTCAGCCTCCCGAGTAGCTGGGACTACAGGCGCATGCCACCATGTCCAGCTAATTTTTGTATTTTTAGTGGAGACAGGGTTTCACCATGTTGACCAGGATGGTCTCGATCTCTTGACCTTGTGATCCACACCCCTCGGCCTCTCAAAGTGCTGGGATTACAGGCATGAGCCACCACACCCAGCCTCAGTCATTTATTTTTAAATTTGTTATTATGAATAGAAAATTCAGTGGAAAAAACCTCGGGCTATCGAAATGCAACATGCTCTATACGTTGAACTGTTCTTATAGAATAAACTGAACGTCACAACTTTTTTCTTTTAGTTTATGAAAAATCACTTCCTTCCAAATATGTGGTGTCAAAGAGCCAATTGGTTTAGGTGTAAAATTTAAAAAGAGTTAGGGAAGAGGCCAACAGTTTTCTCTCATTAGACACATCTTCAACAGTATCATAATCAGTAATTTTTATACAATGCTAAAAAAAAGTAAGGCATGTCAGAATCCATCTGATTTTGTGACCAGCACAGCAAGAATAAAAATTGACCTATCAGATTATATTTGTCCTTGGTTTCAATAGGTTCTCTGGATCTTCCACTGGTCGCCGTGATTTCTGAAATTTTCATTGCTAGTGGGACATACCACAACACTCATTTCCTAGTTAGCAAATTTGGAAAGGGAAACACATTTACTTAATATGTTTCTATTAATATTTTATTCTCAATTGTTTCATTAGAGACTGAGAAGGTAAAATAAAATAAGAAGGTGGTCATTTGTGTGATAGGTGGGAATCGGAGGAAGGAGTATGTCCTGAATTGTCCTAGACTTCAAACGTAGGGAGGAAAGGTGGGTCTCTGCTTCAGTGGTGAAGAGTAAATCCTGAGTATAAAGCAAAATGATTCCAAATGCTAACTTTTACACGTTAAAAATGTGCTGTCACTTACTCCTGATAGCATGTGATGAGACAAAATACATTGCCTCTGGAATCTTCCACACAAAAACCCATAAGCCCAGTCTAAACATGAGAAAAATTATTAAAATCTCAGTAAGGGACATTCTACAAAATACCTGACCAGTATTCTTCCAAACTGTCGAGGTCATTATCAACAAGAAAAGTCTAAGAAAGTGTCACAGTCCAGAGGAGCCTAAAAAGATAAAATAAATAAATGTAATGTGGAATCCTAGATGGGATTCTGGAACCAAAAAAAGGACTAATGTCCTTAATAATAAAAATTAGGGCAATCTGAATAAACTATGGACTTGAGTTGATAATAATGTATGAACACTGGCTCATTAATTATAACAAATATGCCATGTTAAAAATAAGAAAAACTAGGAGTGGGGTATTTGAGAACTCTGTATTATCGTCAGAATTTTTCTGTAAATCTAAAACTGTTCAGAAAAGCTTAAGAAAACATCATATGACCAGATTTCAGAACTAAATTGCTGACAAATTACTTTCATTTTTTCATTTTTTTCATTTATATATTTTGCTTCTGTTTTACCCCAATTAACTTTAGAATACTTTAACTGATAAGAAAGGAGTTAAGCCAGTGCACAAATTAAACTTCAGTTGTTTTCATGCATTTGTTGATTCTCAGATACTCGAAGTGGATATTAAATTTGTTACCCAATGTACAGAAATAAAATTCTGAAGTGAATTGCCTGCATCGGGATTGTCCTTGTTTTATTTATTTATTTATTTATTTTTGAAGCAATTGTCATTACTCCATCAACATCTTATAAGTCGGTGTGATCAGTTCTGACAATAAGACCAATAACTTCAGTGTTTTTAATCAAGCCAAATATTAGCTCATGTATTTTTCCACTTGTTGAAATAGAAGACATTTATAATACACCTTTTCAGTAGGGCATTGTTTCTCCTATTCAGAGTATGTTTTCATCATATTAACTTTCTCAGTTTCTAGAGTTCTTACCAAGGTTATTATGATAGTATCTATATATAACTTGGTGATTCCCAATCAACTTCACAAAATAAGTCACAGCAAGTTGTGAGTTTTTTTTTTCCCCAAATGGTTGAAGTGAAGATGAGAAATAACACAAATTAACCTAAACATATATTGTGCTTCTTCTAAAACCCCAATCTCCTTTTTGCCAGAGGTTAAAATGTTGCTTGATTTAAATTTTCTTTTCCTTTTTTTCTTTCTTCAGCAGCTAACCCTTGGTGAAAATGAATAAATTAATATCAGAATAATAAATATATGAGTGAGAAAAGAAATAATACAAAAAGGACTGGACTGTGGAGTATGTAATTCTTAATCAAACTTTGGGGCTAATAAAATTCTAAATGCAATTACATATTTAGTGACACCATGTAGTTTGAGAGGTTTCGGTGAATTATCTCCATTTTGCCAAAGTGAAAACAAAGCCAGGAGTAAAGTTATTTTGTTCCGCAAATATTATCAACCATCTCCAGAAACTTATTTCACCTGGATCTCCTATGGTTGTACAGAGAAATCCTTAGGTAACTTTTACAATAAGTGAAGCAGTAGATCTAATCTAGAATAAATAAATATCACTTAAATTTTGTCTTGAAAGATGCTAAATAAATGCTCATAAACACTACAATAGTGTTCAGCAATTTTGAAAAGTGATTGAAATTATGTTCAAGTCAGAAATCATACTGAAGGAGCTACCAGAGTGAACAAAAATATGCAAACTCCGAAATGTACCACTGAAAATGGGTCTTTTACTCTATACACATTTGAAAATCTATTTAAAATAAAGTGAATCCTTTGAGTTTTGAATTAACACACACAGTAAAAATGAATGTTTATTTCTCATAACTTTTATTAATATATAGATTAATAAGAAAACATGCAATACAGAACCTGAAATAGAACAATTAATACCAGTTTGCTGCTGGATTACATACTGCCATCCTTGGCCATACAGTAGCCAACCTTCTTACTTCCAAAGCATGGTTAGAACTGCTTTAGGATACTGTTCATTTTCAGATGCTGTATGATATCACAGAGGAGGAATCTTCCCACAATACAAACATAAATACATATTTCATAAAATTCTTAATATTTTAAGTAGGGATAGTATAAATTTCACACAGTTTACTCTTTAAAAAGTATCACTTACAATCACTAAACAATTGCCATCAATTTTTTTTTATTTGTGCACATACATTTTTCTGAGCAGATTTTTTGTTACTGCTTCTGCTGTTGTCAACTTACACTGCTTTTAAAAATCACATTTACTAAAAAGCACATGATGGTTAGTGTAAGAAAGCTACTGTGAAAGAATATTTTAAGGCCTCTGCATAAAATTGATCTGGTGTGGTAATTGGCACATAATATAGAAAGGTTTTTGTAGAAATACATTTCAGCTTCTCTTGCTCTCATGTTTTCCCGGCCAACTGGGCCAGTTGGAAACATTCAAGATAGTTACTAATGATCATGATAAAAAGTTTACCTAAACTAACTCTAAATTTGGTTTCAAAAAATATAAAAGAAGAAAGATAAGAAATAATAACTATAATAAAAAATATAAATCAGAAGAGTATAAATAAAAGTCTAAACAAGTAGATTTTCATAAATGTATATTAGGAAGTATACACACCTTCAGTAATACCATGAAAAAGAAACAAACAAACAAACAAAAAACTAATGTTGAAATATACATGTGAGTAAAACTCCCTTAATTTTCTCAGGATTGAAAAGGATTTTTTTTACGTGTGTGACATGATTACATTTTCAGAACTGAACAATTAGTGATTTGTTTAGTCAATTTTTTCCCATTTAATGACCGTGTGTGATAAATATTAGTTTTGGAAGGCAGAGGCTCTTTGTAACTGTTACCATTACACAATAGCACTAACCATTTAATGATCATTATTTTCTAACCAAATTTACATAATCAAAAATAAAATGTTAAGTAACTAAATAAGACTACACAAAATTACTCTCTAAATTTATTACATTGTAGATACCATATGTAAAACCTAATTTTTAATACACTGGCACAATATTAGCTAAAACGAAGGTGAAGTTTAAGAAAAGAATGTGTATGCTCGTAGCATATAAGATACTTAGTATTTGAATACATACTCACAAGTGTGATATAGTAATACCATAGCTAGAAAATTAATCACAATCTAATTGAATATGGACACAAAATAGAATAACTACTTTGATTGAATGTATTATTCTCATATAAGTCATTCAGTTTGAAGTTTTAATTTCAAATCACACGAAATCCTTTTTAAAACAAACATTTTTTGATTGTTGGTTCAGTAAGACATTTTGCAGTTCTAGGACTACATATTCATACATCACAATAGCCACTTGTGTACTGTGTCAACCTATACCACTGTCTATTCAGCCACAGAAATAACTTGTAATGTGATGAAAAAGGTATCATCAGATCTGAAGCCCTAGAAGTTACAGGTTTCCAAGGCCAGACCTAGTGGAAGCTTAGAAAGAGATGGCATAGGGGAGAATAACTGGGCTCATACCCCTTGCCTCTTTGGCTACTCTCAGCCTGCTTCCATTCAAAGCCTCTCTGGTAAAAACCAAGAAGAGGGTGCCCAGTCGTTTAATATTCTAAACACAGTCTAAGTCTGATTATAAAATCAGAGTTAGAAAGGGTAATAAAAGCGTATTGGTTCATTCCTATATCTATAGGAAAGGTGTCAAAAGTTCACAACACAAGTTTCCAGATATGAGGATTTAAGAACCTCCCTAGTAACTCAATAAATTCTACCATCAGAAGAAAAATCCCAAATATCCAACTTTGGGTCCTATTTGATAATTTTTAACATAGATAGTAACCATTAAGATGCCTGACAAGCTATTTAATAATCTTTCAGCCTCTTCTTTTTATTCTTTAAATGTGTGTATCTGTGTGTGTGTGTGTGTGTGTGCATGTATGTGTGTGTATAGATCGTAAGAAAACTAAAGGTCTGCAGAGAGAAAATGTGAAAAAAATTAAAATACAAGAAAAAAATCTCACTCACATCATCTTTGCAGGTATTTGAGGCAAAAATATGTTCTAAAATCTACTGGAAGCACTGACGTTTGTCACTATTGGTTCTTTTCTTAATCTTCCCCAAGTTTAAGATTTTCAACATCAACAACAATAGCAAAAATATCAACACATTTGTATGATAATAATTTAATAAACTTCCAAATATCATCAGTCCTTCAGGATTCACGTGCACCTGGAAAGCCAGTAGGCTCCAAATCCCTTGGAACATTAACACAAAGGATAAAATAAATAAATTAATTTTACTAATCAAACTCTGATAGTTAAAAGTTAAGAAGTTATTCTGCACACCCAATAAAATATGATTTAAGGAGCTTTACAATGGATGAGAATAATGTATATTCTGAAAACGCTACTTAATCTGCTGGACACATGAAAAGAAGCTTTCTCAACACTCAGTGGAAAACCGCACCAATGAAATTATGCAATTACCACAGTTTATGTTACAAAATTTACACACAGTTTCATCATAAATTAAATATCAAGTTACACGTTAGAAAATCTATGTCTAATTTAATCAATGGGAGATATTGACTCCCCCACTCCCCGACCACCCCCGTTAAACATCAATTGTCTCTTGGTTTAGTGTTACACTGAAACAAGGTATTTTCTCAGTTTTGCTATGGAAGAAAATTAAGTTGATGGTGTTTCTGTAAATTTATAAAATGTGCACATAGAAGATAATGGCCAGTTAAGAGATAAAAGAAGGAAATAAAGAACAGACAAGAGAAGAAAACTAATGTTTTCTATGAATAATACTGTTTCTTTGCTTAGAAGAACATATTTTATTTCATATATGAGATTTTGATGGTTTTTGTTCTGTGCGTGTTTTTCAGGTGTTTCTTGTTGAATAAGGCACAAGCAGTCATGTGCCTTATTTCTCCCTCTGCATTTTTCCTTAAAATTCTATGTTTGATGTAGATTTATAATTACATTTCTTGAAAAGTTCCTTCCTGGTAGTCTTGTTGTTATTAGTGGTTTTCTTCGGTAAGTTGAGCTAGAATAACAAAAATCCCTTAGTCTTATAGATTTAGTATATGGTTTTATCTACAGTTATATGTATTTGTTATTTTTACTGAACACCCTTTGGTAACAGCCTATTGAGCTGTCAAATCAACATTTAAATCTTCCTGAGTTTCTCCACAAAATAGTAGTTTACTGTCAATATTGTAAGTGACTCGTGCTTTGAATGCATCCACCTCCTTTTAATTTTCTAGGCTGTTACATACAAATTCCCAGAAGTAAAGATCCAAGTAATAATGGGCTACAGGCTTAAAATGGCAGATACTGTTTTATTTCTGATGTACTTTACACTAAACTATTAAAGTAAAAAGAGGCCCTTTTTAGCAAATAGTTGCCTAATTTGGGCAGTTATTGCACTTCTGTGTCTCGAACTCTACTAAAGAGTAGAGAAATAGGTTGTAGATCTAGATCTGTACAGTTTATATATATTCCTTATTGAAAATGTATATACAAATTATATCAACAATATAGTACTGGAATAAGGTAGAAAACGTGAAAGCAGAGAGAGAGACACACACAAGTGGTATTTACACTACCTACTGTGTATTTTGAGGGGAGACTCACTAACAACAACAACAACAATAAAATAAAACCTGAAAACAACAAACAAAAATCAAACAGAAAGCCCAAAAAAAGGCTAGAATATGTATATCTTTTACCATTATTTGAACAAAAGTTTAGATAAACTAAAGGTAAACTTAGAAAATAAGATATTTCTAAGCTTTCCATTTGCTACATACTGGTTCCACACAATCAGCATGGAAAAAAATCAGTAATATTGCACACGATGATAAAAATAACAAAAAATACTGTACATCAGAAATAGTACGCTCCGTCATGATAAACCTTACTGTACAAGGGGATGCAAATTGTTAAATTCCTTTTCTTTTTAAATACACATTCTGAATTAAACAAATTGCAATTTTTTGGTTAACTTTTGACTAAGGGTCTAGCTCTAGACTTATTCTGGTATCTGTTTCTATTTACATAGCTATTTACAAATCTGATAATCAGAATACTCATTGAAATTGTATCTTAAATTTTGATTACATATGTCTTTTCTGAAAATTCGAAGTAATTATTTTAGCTTTACAAGGGATGTTCTTCCATAATGGGAGAATCACCTTTGGAGGGTCTGGCCTGTTGGCGTGGAGTGAAGGTTGTCAAAGGAATGACTTTAATTGAATCATCACTGGGATGAAGTCTCTCAGACATGGTGTAAAACTGAGATGTTGCACTACCTTGCACTCCCTGATCAACAGAGCATAGTCCATCAGCACCTTGCACCCAACCTTGCTGCAAACTGACTGACGACTGGGCCTGGCTGCGATGGAGGGCAGTAACCTGGGGCAGAGGAGAGCTGTGGCAGATTGCAGCAGCCTGTGCTAAAGGAGGGCTGTAGCAGAGGGCTGAGGCCTGTGCTGATGGTGGGCTGTGGCGAAGTGCGGTAGCCTGCGCTAGAGGAGGACTATGGTGGAGAGCAGAGATCTGTATTGGTGGAGGGCTATGGCATAATGCGATGGTCTGTGTCACTGGAGGGCTGTGGCAGAGAGCAATGGTCTGTGTCACTGGTGGGCTGTGGTGGTGAGTAGAGGCCTGTGACAGTGGTGGGCTGTGGCATAGAGCAGAGGCCTGTGCTTGCGAAGAGCTGGAATCATTCAGAGACGCTGGCATCCAGCAGGCATCAGAATGGCCATAGATGAGACACTCTGGAGTGCAGTTGTCGGAGGCCTCTTCCACAGTTGGTTGAACAGTTATTTCTGCAGCTGTTGGGGTGAGGAAACAAATAATAAAATTTATATTTCAAAGGTGTATTTTTATTAGCTACTTAAATGACATTGTGACAAAAAAAGGTAACAACCTATATACAAATGCATTACAGACTTCCATTATTTATAGAGTTGGTGTTTTTAATTTGTCAATAATTCTTAGGGAAGTATAAATGACTTGGAGTGGGTGGATGAGGTCTCATTATCATAACTGGGATCCTTTGGCCTAGTATCCCAAATGTAGGTATTTTTTATTGTATCTGTGACCCTCAAGGAAACTATGATCATTCATCTATACATGCAAGTCAGCCGAAATATGGCTTCTAACTAGCACTGAGAGAGGACATAAAAGCAAAATGAATTGGAAAACAAATTATAAGAATATATAATGAGTTAATTATAGCTAAAAATAGCTAAGAATAAATTACATACATTTGGAAATGTAGTTTATTGAACTCTAAGATATGCCTTAGTTTCAAGAATAAAATATAGTCAAAATTATTTCAAAGATAATTAATTTCTGTGCTCTTCATTTTCTGAAATCATCATAAAATAGAGGTTAGCAACATAATAAACTAGAGATCCAAGCACTTAGCTGTAAACTATAATAGTTTGTAATACTCTTTTTATGAAATTTCTGTATAGTCTTCAAATGTCAATAGATATCAAACATCAATAAAAATATTATACAAATTTTAGTAAAATAAAGATGGAGTTACTATATCTATATAAAGTTTACTTGAGAGCAAGAAATGCTATCCAGTATAAAGAAATATATTATATGACAATAAAAAGATCAATTCTCCAAGAAGACATATCAATCCTGTGTATATGCACCTTACAACAGCGCTTCAAAATACAAGAAGCAAAATAAACTAGAAATGAAAGGAGAAATAGATATATCCACAGTCATAATTGGAGACTACACTACTCCTTAGAACTTGATGGAAAAAAAAGAAAATCAGTAAACACATAGAAGACTTGAGCAATATTATCAACCTACTAGATCAAAATTTATATTAGTAGAACTATTCAATTTTAGCAAGTTAGAAACAGGGGAATATCTTCAAATTGACATGCAGGTTCTACAAAAAGATAACAGCTGACATTATATTTAAAGGTTAAATATCGAATACTTTTCCCAAAAAATCACAAACAGAAAGGTTGACACCACTCCTATTTGACATAATATTGTAAGTTCTAGCCAATGAAATAAAGCAAGAAAAAGAAATGAAAGACATACCATTGAAAATAAACAACACTGTATCTATTCACAGACACATTTAGGTATATATGTAACAAAATGTGTGTGGTATCTGTGTGCTTAAAATTTAAAAAAATGATAAAAAATAAAGAAAATCTAAATAAATGGAGAGATATACCATGTTCATAGCTTGGAATACTCAATATTGTTATCATGTCAGTGGTCCCATAATTGATCTGTAAACTCAACATAATCTAAATAAAAAGGAAATCCTAGATGGATTTTCTGTTTTTGTAGATATCAACAAGCTGATGCTATAATTTATAGGGAAAGGTAAAGGAATTAGATTAGCCAACCAATTTTGATTAAAAAAAACCTACTTGTGGACTCACATGATCTGATTTCAAGATTTACTATAACATGTACCTAATCATTACAATGTAATATTAGCAAAATAATAAATACAAAATGATTAATAAAAATAGAATAATCAGTCCAGAAATAGATCCACAAAAATACAAAGTTATTTTCTACGAAGGTCTGAATTCAATGGCTAAAGTATAAACTTTTCAACAAGTGCCGATAGAATGATTATAGATTATAAACAGAAAATTAAAACTTGACTCACATCTTTAATCTTATAAAATAATTAACTTGGACTCAATCAAAAGTCTAAATGCAAAATGTAAAACTATACAACTTCTATTATAAAATATTGGAGAAAATCTTTGTGACTATGAGTTAGGTAGCATTCTTAACTACAACACCAAAAGCACAATTTATTTTTAAAAATATGCTAAGTTGAGCTTATTTGTAATTAAAAATATTTACTTTGCAAAAGGCAATGTGAATGAATGAAAAGGCAAGCCACAGACTGTGTAAAAATATTGGCAAATCACATTTCTGACAAGGGAGCTGTATATTTTAAAAAGGATGTAAACTAACAATAGATTTTTTTTTTCCAAGATGACTGATTGAATCCTTTTATCATGCCTCAATGACTTGGAAATAGCACAATAGTGCATAATGATCAACTTTGTGAGCTTTAATTCAAGAAGAAAAATGAGAATCCACCAGTATTGTGAAGGGTGCCCCAGGCGCCAGGGAGGGGGACATGGGCAAACAGTCCTTGTGATGGCATCCAGCTGATAAAAGTAAGTGAAGCCCCAGTACATGAGAGAGACAGAGAGCCTCCCTCTGTGACTCACCTTTCTACTGGGGATCTGAGCAACCCAAGAGGAGGGAGAATATTTTGTTCTTTAAAGTCCTGGTGCTAACTTGGGGAGAGGCTTGGAGACCTGTGAGGGAAAAACACCAGGAAAAACTACAGATATTTGCCCAGGCCAAGGACTGAGAGCAGAATGCCGTTTTTAATCCAGGCACATACAAAATCAGCCATTCCTTTGAGACCTAGCAGCATGGTCATGCAGGTATTTTAGTCTCAGGACAGAGATTGGAACACCTGCTCTGGAGCCGGGTAGGGGCTTCCATAGCCAGAATTGTAGAAAGCCCCGCAGCAGTAGGCACCAGAATTGTACGCTCCCCTGTTGAAGCCCTGGGGCAGGAGAAGAGCTGCTATAGCTGTGTTTTCTCCTGGGGGATGAGACTTTCATTCAAGACCAGCTGGCAACCTGAAACTGACTTGCATATGCCATTACTGGGTGCTGCAGCATGCTCCCCTGAGATTATGGTATAGCAAGACCCTCTCCGTTCCACCTCCATGCAGAAATCCAAGATTTGGAGCACCTACTTGCTTGAATCAGCAATCTGAGTTGCCCCACTCTTCATGGACATAAATTGTGGTATGGCAGGCACTTTTATTACTGATAATGGTGATTTTTTGCTTTCATATTTTTTTTTTTTTGATCAGTCTAGCTGAGGGTATATCAATTTTATTAAATATTTCAAAAGATGAACATTTGGCTTGTTAATTTTCTTAAATATTTGTTTTCTTTATTGCTGAGAAATTCATAATTTCTTTATTCTTGCTTTGGGTTTATTTTGCACTTATTTTTCCAGCTTCTTAATGTAGAATATTAGGACATTAATTTTAGATTTCCCCTCATCACTAATATAATTATTTAAAGTTTTAATATTTACTGTGGACACAGTTTTAGTTAGTTGCATCCCATAAATTTTGATATATTTTATTATAATTCCATTTAAAATATTTTCTTACTTTTTTATTTCATTATTGTCTCATCAAAGTATACTGTTTAATTTCCAAATATTGTGATTTTTCTGAGATAGTTTATTGTTATTTATATTTTAATGCCATTAACATAAATAAACATATTCTATGTGCTTTCAATTCATTTGAATTTAATAAGTTTTTTAATAACCCAGAAAATGATTGTAATAGTGCATTTTTATGCTGCTGATGAAGACATACCCAAGACTCAGTAATTTCTAAAGAAAAAGAGATTTAATAAACTTACAGTTCCACATGGCTGGGGAGGCCTCACAATCATGGCAAAAAGTGAAAGGCAAGTCTTACACTGAAGCAGACAAGAGAGAATGAGGGCCAACCAAAAGAGGTTTCCCCTTATAAAACCATCAGATCTTGTAAGATTTATTCACTACAGTGAGAACAGTATGGGGAAAACTGCCATCATGATTCAATTATCTCCAACTGAGTCCCTCCCATAACATGTGGGAATTATGGGAGATACAATTCAAGATGAGATTTGGTGGGAACACAGAGCCAAACCATATCATTCTGCCCCTGCCCCTCCCAAATTTCTTGTCCTCACATTTCAAAACCAATCATGCTTTCCCAGCAGTTCCCCAAAGTCTTAACTCATTTTAGCATTAACCTAAAAGTCCACAGTCCAAAGTCTCATCTCAGACAAGGCAAGTCCCTTCCACCTATGAGACAGTAAAATCAAAAGCAAGTTTGGAGGGTTTTCTTCTTATAAAACAAGTTTTTCTTGGTCTACAAAAAGACTTAGAAAGCCACACAATGATACTGGGGGATACCAACATCCCACTGACAGCATTAGGCAGATCTTCAAGACAGAAAACTAACAAAGAAATTCTGAACTTGAATTTGACACTTAACCAGTTGAACTTAATAAACAAGCACAGAATACTCTACCCAATATACATGTATATACAAAATATACATTCTTCTCATCTGCACATTGAGCATCACTAAGGTTGGCCACATCCTTGGCCATAAAACAAGTCTCAATAAATTTTTAAAAAATTGAAATCATACAAACCATTGAAAAAATAAGTAAGATTGACAGGCTACTAGCTAGATTAACAGGAGAAGATCCAAATAAGCACTGTCACAATAGACAAAGGTGACATTACAACTTATCCCACAAGAATTCAGAAGATCCTCAGAAAATATAAACACCTCTGTGCACACAAAATAGAAAATTGAGAGGAAATAGAGAAATTGCTGGAAGCACACAATCGCCCAAGATTGAATCAGGAAGTGATTGAAACTGTGAACAGATCAATGCTGAGTTTTGAGACTGAATCAGTAACTTTAAAAACTACCAAACAAACAAACCAAAAACAAAACCCAGACCAGATGGATTAACAGCCAAATTGTACCAGACATCTAAAAAAGACATGTTACCAATGCTACTGAAACTATTTAAAAAAAAAATTTGAGTAGTAGGGACTTCTCCCTAACTTCTTCTATGAGGCCAGCATCATCCTGATACCAAAACCCGGCAAAGACACAACAAAAATGAAAATTATAGGCCAATATCTCTGATTAACAAAGACACAAAAATTGTCAAAAAAAAAAAAAAAAATACTAGGAAACTGAATCCAA